CTCGGCTCTGATGTTGGTGCACCTCTCGCGTCGTGACTTTTGATGTAGCCCGACCACCTCCATAAGAGACAACTCCAACTGAACTGAACGCGCCAAACCATAGCTATACCATGTGGACGCCGATGTACGACACCAGTGAAACAGTACCCCGACAAACTTTGTGTTGACGCAAGTAAAGTTTTTCTATTCTTTTTTTATTTTTTTTTTTTCATTCGTTTCTACGTCGACGTATAGGTAAACAGACCCGGCGGCGGCGGGGGACATCTAACGTTCCCCTACAAAACTCAGATTTCCTCAAACCATTGCCAGTTAGCTATCCTCAAACCATCGCCTCAAACCATCGCCAAAATCTTCTCACCCACCCACCACCTCTCCTTTTTAACTCCTTCCTTCCCCGCCCGTGCGAGTCTTTTCCCCGTCATGGGAGAATATTATTTCCGCACGCGCATTTCCCCTTTGCCGTAATTTACAATACAGCAACAACAGTTACAACGAAGAAACAGCCCTTCACCGACTGCTCTCAAAACCAGATAAAATCCCTGGCATATTGTCCGCTTTGCTTCACAAACAACAAGGGACGCACGATTGCATAGGAGGGGAAAGTTACGAAACACCGGAAAGAAGCATTTCACCAATAAAAACCTGACGAAGCAAAATCGTGAACTGTGAGCCGAGGCAAAAGAACAGGCGAAGCCCCCGAAAAGGTTTCATGTACGCGCAAGAATGTGAGAGTCTTTATCAGGCGCAAGAATGGGGATGACGCCTGTGTGATAAGAAACGAAGATGATCTGCAAGCCATTCATTCGTAGTTCGGAGTCTATATCGCCCATAGTCCGTTGCAACTCGAGAAGGTAGGGCGAGAGTAAGACGGGCCGGGGAGGAGGAAGCAGACGGAACGCTGGAGAAGAGAGGAGGAAACCTCCTTCTCTCTTTTCCAGCGTTCCGTCTGCTAACTCCTCCCCGGCCCGTATTACCCTCGCCCAACCTTCTCGAGTTGCAACGGACTATAAGGGCTTTTGCAATTCATGAAGGATTCACCGTACGTATTCCCCGATGATTTTTTTACAGCATCTTGAAAGCAGCTTTGAGTCTTCACTGAAATATTTTCATTCAAATGCAAAGTCTACTAAAAATAAGGCAATGAATCTCGAGTGTCTTTTTGGCAAGATTTCAATTAAATTCATTGTAAATATGTTTACCGAGACATGGTATTCTGAGGAAGATGTTTTTAGTTTGCCATCTTCCAACCACTACCGTTTAAATCGTATTTCTAATCGTGCTGGAGGTGTACGTCGGCTGATTGAAGAAAGCATTAAAACCGAAATATTAACTACTTTTCGTGCTACGACAAAAGATTGTGAAGTGTTATCTCTGGTAGCAAATAATATGTCTATCTCTGTGGTTAACCGCCCACCGGATGGGAATATTGGAAATTTTCTTGCACATTTTGAGGGGCTCTTGGGATTCGGAAATGATAATGATTTGAATGTTATCATTGTAGGAGGTTTTAATATCAATATGGTACTTGATGATAGGCTTAGAAATGAATTTAAAGTTTTACTTTCGACGTACGGACATGCTAACATAATAACTCGACCAACAATAATTACAGTACACACAGAAACTCTTATTGACCTTTTTATTACAAACATTGATCAGACACGTCTGAAAGGTGGGATGCTTACCACCCATATAAGCGACCATCTCCCTATACTCCTATGTATATATAAAATATTGTATTTGTCACAAAAAGGATACATAGTCATTTAGACGCTTTGAACATGTCACCCTAGATAATCTAGACATGTTTCGAAACGATATTGGAACTTAAAACTGGAACAATGTATTTCCCGCAACAGAGCCTGGTGCAGCTTACGATGCACCCAGAATGGTTTAAGCACCTCTATATAAAAACTTTTCCTTAAAAAAAAAAAAAAAAAAATGTCCCGCAGAATTTAAAAACTACGGATTGCCCCAAACCTTTTAACAAAACTAATAAAAAAAAAAAGCAAGTTTTTAAAAAAAATCACGAAACCAGAATCGGATTTGAAAAAAAGTTTAAATCTTATCGCAACCAGTTCACGAAGGAAATTTAAATTGCTAGGGAACGGTATTGCCACAACATTTTTAGATCTATAGTTGGAAGTATTGATGTTATTTTAAAGAAAGTTAAATACAAAAAAAAAATCAGAACCATGACAGCATAACTATATATTCACGGAGAAGTTAAATATGCTGCTTTAGCTAATGTATTTAATTATTACTTTGTAAATATATTTTTGTCTGCCTTACGATGATGAGGCTTGCGGGTATATTAAGTATAGAAATTTAAATTCAATAATCTTGGATCCATCAGCAAACCCGAGATCTTTGGTGTATTTATGAACCTGCAAATATGTTTTAGACTTAGTCATGCATTGTTTAATTTGTGTATCTAACTCGTGTTTATCAACAGGTATATTTCCAAAACGCACGCAGATTGCGAACTTTTTCGTACTTTATAAGAAAGGTCATAAGAATGAAGTTAGCAACTACAGACCAATTTGAATACTTCCTGTTTTTCAGAAGGGTTTGAAAAACTTATTCATGCGAGAGTGTAAAACGTTTTCGACAAGTATCAACTCATTACAAGGTCGCAGTTTGGATTTCAAAAACATCGTTCTACGGTCCTTGGTTTACTCGAAGAGAAAGAATTTATCCTATAGGCAATTTAAAGGATAAGAAACCTGTTTTTGGAGTTCATACTGATTCTAATAGAAGCTTTCGATTCTTTAAGCCACGAATTATTGTTACAAAAGATCGAATTCGATGGTGTTCGTGGACAATCCTTGCATCTATACTCCGGTCCTATCTGGAAAATCAGAAACAATGTCTGTTGTTGTAACTTTCACTCTAATATAAAACCAATTTTTTGGGGGGAGTACCACAAGGAAGTATATTAGGCCCCTTTCTGTTTAACATTTATGCAAGTAATATAGAAAATATTGACCAATTTATTAAATTTACAATGTAAGCAGATGATACAACACTTCTTTACGCTGTTGATAATGCGAAAGAGCTCGTGCCAAAAATTGATTTAAAATTAACTGCAATTCATCTTCCGATGCCGAGAGTGCATTGGGGCGAAATTTCATTTGACTTAGTAAGTTGCAACTGCAGCACGCATGTCAGTTAATAAATCGTAACAGATCGTAGTAAACTGAACGCTAGAAAGTTTCGGGGGCCATTCTGAGGATCGCAAGCGACCCGTATACACCTGAACTTGCCCGGCCCTGAATATTTAAAGAGAGTAACGAGACGAAAGGAAATAGGTTAGTGTCGCGCGTCAGTCGGTCATATTGTAAAGAAGAACATATCTGAGTTGATGACGATTCTGATATTTAATGAAGAACTGTTTATCGAAGGAACATAGACAAATTACTCTTTTACGTCACTTTCCACGTTATATGATATGAGAATCCATTTTTAGGGGTACTACTTCTAACCCCTGCCGACTTCCCCTGCTGTCCTTCTCGACCACACCTCCAGCGGGTGTCCCGAACACAGCCGGAATAGACAAACAGGAGTTTCACACAAAGCGGGCGAGCCGAACTCCTCCACAGTTGTACACTCTGAAAAATGTCTGTGCGTCTACTTTCCCGCACACCACTCGGAGATCCAACCACCGCAACTTACGGAGGCAGCTCAGCGAATGACGATGCCGAAACATATGTTTAGACCAAAAAAGGCAGTCTGAGTTGTGACATTACGCAATGCAAGCGTGACGTTTTGCATTGCTTAATGTCACAACTCGGACTGCGTGTTTTGGTCTAAACGTATGTTTCGGCATCGTCATTCGCTGAGCTGCCTCCGTAAGTTGCGATGATTGGCTCTCCGAGGTGTTGTGCGTGAAAGTAGACTTACAGACATTTTTAGAGTGATATAAGGGGTCCGAAGTTTTCAAGTTAGCGGGCGCGATAGGAGGGGATCGGACGTGCAGGTTGGCCTCCAGAGGCAGGCTGATGTTCAGGTCCAGGATCCAAGTCCTCTGCAGTCCTTTAGCGGCTGCTTATATTGAGTTTAGCAGCATTCTGGCTCCAATTTGGCAACCAATCCCAGAGGGTTTTCTTAGCACCAATCAAAAAGCTCGGAGCCAAAAGAAAACATATTACTATCTGTCGAAAATGGAAGATGTAGCATATTTTATTAAACACTAATTAATAATAACAATTATAATATTAATGAAATGGATATATTTTTGCTGCATGGCCGGAACTCTTCCAACGACCTGTGCGGGTCGTCGGGAATGGCCGACTACACCTGACACCGACCCGGGAACACATTTGTAACACGCGGCCTCTCGGAAATCATTCGCGCCGCGCGAAGATCAAGGGCGCACCTCCGGGCGACCGAACGCTTCGGGCGGCGAGAACAACGACAGTGCGAGACGTGCACACAGCCAGTTGAGCCGAACAAAGGCGCCCAAACAAACGGCACCCAGAGCAGCGCGGCAGCAGCAAGCAAGCACCCAGAGAGGGTTCCCACGACGACGGCGGCGGCGACGCGCCCGCGCCGCTTGCCAACAGAGACGCCGTATCCAAAGTTCTCAAACAGCGACAAAAAGAGCGCTTCATTGACGGGGGGGCTTCGGCGTAGAGCGTGGGCCCCCCTTCGGTCCCCACGTCGGACCCCGAGGGGTCCCCCATCGGGTCCGGCGGCCGCCGCACTCGAAAAACGCAGCGGCTGCCGGCCGAGCCGCGCGGCCAATGGGCTTTGCGCGGCGTCGTCAGTGGCCGGGCGGTTCGGAGGGGCCGGCTCCCCCGTCGCGAAGGCGGGGACTCGGCGGGCCCCCCGGTCGTCCCGTCGTCGACGTGCATTCGAGCGAGTCCCTTCCGACAGCGCGGCGGCGACGACGTGCGTGTGCTCAACCCTCCCAGCTCGACCCAGTGGAAGCGGGCGGCCGCACCCGGTGCTGCGCAGTGGCGATCGTGGCTGGAGGTCGGTGCCTTGTGCAGCCCAACATGCTGCCCTTCGAGACGCCCAGCATCTTCGACCAGCTCCCGCGGTTCGTCTTCAAGATGCCGCGGGTGGTCCCCGACCAGAAAGCCAAGTTCGAGTCGGACGAACTCTTCCGCAGGCTCAGCCGCGAGTGTGAGGTGGGTGGCGACCTTTGGACCTTCGCGTGCATGGACCCGCACCGCGCAGTCAGCGACCATTCAAAGCGAAATCGGTGCAGGGTAAACTTACGCACGCTCCGAAATTTCGCTCATTCCAGCGAGGCAGATTCAGCAGACTTGCGAAATCTGTTCGGTTAGGCCCGTTTGTATTCGTTGTCTTGTAACGCGATCCTTTAGGGAATTGACAGATCGCCGTTGCCGCCGGGAGTCACCTGTCCGAATCCCGTCCTCCCGGTGGACTTCTCGAGAAAGCCACCGGGACCACGAGGGCTCGGACAAGTTGTCTTGACTTTGTTATCACAGCCACTCTATCCACCTGTTGAAAGCCATCGCGAAATTATTTGTAGTTCCAAGTTTACGAATTCTGTATGGTGCAGGGTGATACAACTATTTTTACCAACGCCACGCGTGAAACTCATTGTCCGGAAACGTCTTTTGTGCTGAGTAATTTAGAAAATAACAGCTACCTTTTTTTTTTCCCCCCTTCTGAGTGTTTCTTAACTCTGTTTCGTAAGGCTGGGAGACGATGGTGGGATATCAAAAGAGATTGAATTCACAAGATTTGTAGTTAGACCCTTCCTGGATTTCTTGAGAGAGCTTCATGTGCGCCGAGTCCGACCGTCACCTAACCTTAAAGGGGCACTGAACTCTTCCAACATGATCGTTTCTACATTTCTGAATCTCTGGTATGTGAACAAATAAGCGCTTTCAGAAGAAAAACGAAAGAAAACAAAAGCGCGCTATCCAGGTGCTTCTGAGTTAGCATCAATGCCGACGAAACATATTTCTATTTCGGGCTTGACATCTCGATATATAAACATGTGTCGGAATGGCGCCCAACTCAAAATGGGTCTCGCGGCGTGAATATTTCGCTAATTTGTTGTTCGTTTGGTTTGGGGGAAGGTTCATTTTGGTACTACGTGCCCTATCAGTGTCCCTTTAAACTGTTGAAGATTCAACAGCAACACGCACGACGGTAAAGTGTATGCATGCAATGAAACTATTAACCACATCACTCACTGTGGAGGACAGAATGCACTGAAAGGTTTGGCAGGTCAGTTTTAATGCACTTGTCACGTTATAATTCAAATTTTGCTTCCAATTACGACATAAACGAAAAGAGAACGAAAGAGGACGTTTCGAATATGCTGTCGTCACGAACAAATTTACGAAGTGTAAAGAACCACGACTGTTCGCTACATCGACATTGCCTGTGTTTTCATTTAGCGTATGCGCGTTATTTTTGGTCTAATTTGAATCGACATTTAAACTAAAGCAAGACAAAAAAAAAAAAAAAAAACTTTAGGCATATAAAACTGCACTGAAACGAACTTTAAAAAGTAGTTGAAATGGGTGTGTGGTGTAAATTGATAAAAAAAAAAAAAGGTTTTATCATTCTAAGGGTTACTTTGAGAAGTAAGAATACACTAACATATTCCAGTCATTAGATGGGCTTTGAACAGCCCGTTAAGTTAGTGAAAAGTAACCATATAACGACCTTCACCTGGTTCAATGAAACCTGTCAATATTGCCTGAGCAGTGTCATTAATTCAAATCATGAGCTTTATTTCTACCCGCGGTTATACTATCTTTTCATATAAACATTTTTGGTTTTTGTGCTTCTGTCTTGAAAAATCATGAACAACCGTCGGGGAAAGGGGAGAGGGCGAAGTACAGCCGCCTAGGGCATTTTCCCTCCGGCTTTTGCGTTCCCGCCCTTATGCTTACAGAACAAATAGAGCTATTATTATAATTATTATTCTAAATCTAGATTGCATTTTCTATCTATTTAAGGCGTTGTTTACTGGGAGGCGAATCGGAAAACCGTATAATTACGGAACACCAATTTTATTTTCTTCTGCAGTATGTGGTCAAATGATCTCGGTCGTTCTAAATTGGAGTCGGCTTTTCCGCTACTATAAAATTAAAAAAAAAAAGAAAACAAAATCTTGAAATTGATGGAAGAAGTTATACTGCATATAAATGCAGCTATGCCCTTTAGTAATTTTCGATAAACAAAAAAGGGAAAAAAATAAAGAGAAACAATAGCTTTTAGGTTTGTTACCATTGCACCCACGCGTGCACACGCGCACACGCGCACACACACAGGCACACACACACACTTGCATAAAAAGACAAACGCTTAGGGCACATGTGCGAGAAACTATCCCAAAATCGGACCATAATGGGAACATGAAAAAATCGTTCCTCGCTAATTTCGAGAATCGGGCGTAAATAGATATTGCACGCTCACCGTAAATATGTCCTCGTGAATACTCTTATATTCCCTATAGCGCAAATACCATCGTGTGGTTCGCTTCCCGAAAAATCGCGTTGAACTCTTTTTTTTTTTTTTGTTTTTTAAGTTCCGCTTTTGACGCGTTTTTCTGTTTATTTTTCGCACATGTTGCTAAAGCCTAATTCAAAATTTCAAATGGTAAAAATTGTTTTGCGAATTCGCCGAGCGACGTCGCAACTGCGAAATCGCGAGGAAAATCGCACCCTGTGAATCGGGCATCACTGGTACTCTTGCGTAGAAGAAATATCACTTTGCATGTTCTCACTCGGCACCTTCACACGAGGGAGGTTTAGCATTCCGATAGCGATACTCGACACCCGCACATGGAGTGGACGCTTCGTGCGCAATGCTTCGTGAGCTAAATAAATAAAATAACATGAACTAACTACATAAATAAAATAAACAGATAAATAGAAGCAGTAGATCCCCGGCCTATAGTGCCGCCGTTCACGAACCCGACGCCGGAATGATGGGAGGCCGAAGCGAGGACCTGCAGCCAACTAAACTCGCAACGAGAGCAGCGATATAGCGTCCAAGGCCGGTGGAGCCACGGAATGGGGGCAGCCACCCATCGTTCTCTCTTTCCTTTATTGAACTAAATGAAGATGTTTTTAACAACAAAAAGTAAAGTATCAGTATTCAACGAAATATTGGATTGCCAGGAGATCCCGCTTTTGCTTGATTTCATCGGGCCACGGTCCCACAATGTACTAAGGGCGAAACCGTGAAAGGTATTTTATTCAGAATATCAAACTAACGGTCAAATCTATAATTGAAACCAGACCTGCCTTTCCGAGTCCCCGAGTGATTTCCCGAGAAAAATTTTAAACGCTTCCTCACCACCTGCGACTGGACATTGCATTTACGAGTAAAGCTCGCTCTAAAATAAGGAAATCGAAGATCCAAATTGTAATGGCGGTTGTGAGTCTCATCTTCGTTATTAATCCTGGATTCGGTCGTAACGATTGCGACAACGGCAGTGACCTGGTTCATATATCAGGCCCCGAAGAAAGTCATCCTAAAATGCTATTCATTCGACTGGTCGAGGAGAGCTCGGACGCTCGCTGCATGCTGGTCGTGGTCCTTAAACATCGCCCGGATTTCCTATTTTGTGCACTCCATGTATGTGCTCAACTTCAAGGTACTGGTGCCTACTGTATTTAAAGTCGTGTATGAAGGATGCGAATTTTCATGCGTTTTCATCACCCGAAAATTGGTAATTAGTGTTAGGATTCCTGAAAGCTCGCAACGTCGATGTGATCGCGAAATCCTATTTCTACGTTGCTATGTCGCTAGGGAGCCGCGAGTCACACTTTAACACGCAAAGAGTGGCTGTGTTCAAAGAAAGGTGAATGAAAATATTTTCGGGATCCTTTTTGCGGCTGAAGTTTGATTTAAATCCTCATAGTAAAACTGGTCTGCTTTAAATCAGGATTTAAATCGTCTTGACTTTTATCCTCCCCCGTGGCCCTATAAGTAACGTCGCCGCGTGATGTGGGCATGCTTGCTGCGAGGTACCCTGACGGTGCGGCTTCCCTGTCGTGCAGACGCGGTACACAGGATACCGGGACCGGCCCCTGGAAGAGCGACAAGTGCGCTTCCAGAACGCCTGCCGGGAAGGACACACAGAAGTGGTGAGTCACCAGTCCTTTTCGTCTCGACATGTTGGGACGCGGCGACGCCACTGACATAGAACATGGAGGCGTCGCTGACCCCGAGGAAAATGCATGAAATGCACAAACGACGACATTTGAGACCTATTACATGTCTCAAATGTCGCCGTTCGGTGTGCCCGTGCGAGAGCGATCGCCAAGCATCAAAGTTTAGTCTCTATAGAGTATACTGAGAGACCTGAGGATCCAGGCTCTTAATTTGGGAACGGAAGTTACAACGAACCCACGTAACCGCACCCTCTGTAAATACGTACAAGGAGAGAATGCAGGTATACGCTTCGCATGGGTCGCAGTAGAAAACTAAGTATACATCGTTTTATGCATCACCTGAGCGTTCCAGGAAATTGTTTTTCTACCAATGGGTACAGAAGCGTCAGCGAAGTACGCCACGTTTGTTCTTGCGTTCCAAAGCTGCTTTGTGAAAGTTGTGCTATCCTGTTTCGCTAAATGCACCAGCGGTCGCTGGCACATTTACCGAAACAGAGTTTGGCTTCTAAGCAAATACTGCGCAAGATAAAGGCGTCCATTTCGCGTCCAAAGAGTTCTGGAGTCCTCCAATGATCATCTAAAAACAATGATGCTGTTTTTTTTTGTTTTTTGTTTTGATGATTAACTGTGAAAATTACGAAGAGATGACTTGGTATAATATATGTGAATCTGGAAACGTCGGTGGCGGAGTGGACCAATTCCATGCACGTCGGAGGGCGCATTGTTGTGCTTGGGATGTCCGCTCTTGAACCCTCGCGCTCACCGATTCGGAAGTGCTCGAACGTTCCTGATGTTCTGCGCGCGATCGGGTTTACCGAAGCGCGGACAGGGCGATCTGAAGCCACTGCAGTATCGCTTATTGCGCATGCAGGTACGCAGGAGCGTAGCCAAAAATGGTGTTTGGAGCTCAACACACACCCCCGAAGGTGTTTTCCTGTTCAGACTTCGACGTGGGGGGAGGGTAACCTGACGAAAACACCGAGAGGGTGTTTGCCTTTTCCGTATCCGTCCCTCGTCTCTGGGGTTTTCGACAGACTCCACTTCTTTCCCTCATCCTGTCCCAGAGAGCACGAGCTGTTCTAATATGATCGGTGGCATCCTTCCAAATTGGGAGCTATACTCCGTTCTACAGGGACGAAGCAACGAAGTGCCCAATATTTGTTGATCATTTTAACTTCCTGCGATTGTTTTGCTTATAGGTGGTTTATAAAAAGTGACTCTCTTATAACCAAATACACCTATAAAGTGTTTTTAGAGTATGAGATTGGATACAGAGCCTTGTGTACGTTTGGTCTTTTTTGTGGAGGGCAGTGGAAAGAAAAAGTTAATATTTATTATCGTTCAAAAAACAATAAGAAAAACAGAGTAGACGTTCGTGCACCATTTGTCTAACTTTCACTCTCCTCCTCCTCTTCCTCCTACCACCCCCTTTCTTTGCCCAATATAAATATTAAAAAAAAAAAAAACGCGAAACGCTACGAGTTGATAGGACCAACCAGAAAACGTCAAAGGCGCATCATCATGGTGTTCGTGAACCAGACATAGACAGAAAAGGCCCAGTGACTTGCGCTTTTAACTCTACTTGATTGGTTCCATTACCTCGTAGTGTCGGCCGCGTCTGGACTTAAGCTGATAGGAAGTACAGCAGCGCCAGTAAGAAGTATACAAGAGGCCAGTTTTGTAGGCGTTACCGAAAAAAAAGTAACAAAATGCGTTACTCGTTACTTGTAAATGAAATGTACGCGTTACAGACATGCGTTACCCCAAAATAAAAGGAAATCGTTACCGTAACCGTTACAGGTAAATAAAAAGGTAACGCACGTCACTTTTGCGTTACTTTTTTTATAAATTAAAACGTTTTACGGTTTTGACGTTACATGTATGCATAAAGCGCCGGTCACACGCTTGCAACCGGGTATTGGACGGAGAGACACAAAACCGGTTTTTAAGTCTTTTGCGAAGGCGTAGGACCCGCTCCGTAGCAGCGCATCTGGTCCTACGCCGTCGTAAGCGGTTTAAAAACCGGTCTTGTCGCTCACTCCGTCCCACGGTGTACTCCGTCCTACTCGATTGCGAGTGTGCGAACGGCGCTCAAGCGCCATGCATATTTCAAGAAGCATCGTGTCCATACAGAAACGTAACATAATCACCTTACCTTATTTTACGGTTCAACCTGAATACTCAGGAGGAAAAAGGCGAAAAAAAACGCGGAAATCGCAATAATTAATTTGACTTGGCTCCTAGAAAGAGGAAAAAAATTCAAGTGTAATTTGTTTTAGGTCTTGGGAAAAGACGTAACGGGTAACGAAACTGCGTTACTCGTTACTCAATACAAGTAACGTAAGTACGTTATCAGTTACTGTTTTGAAAACGAAGCGAGTATGTTACGGTTATAGAAACTGACACTTTACCGTAGTAACGCCGTTACTATAGTAACGCGTTACTGCCAACAATGCATTAAACCGTTCCGGACATACACAGCCCCCCCCCCCCCCCCCCCCCCCCCCATCGTCTTTCCGATGCACTATAGCAATGCGAGCGATCATACGGTGCGTGATGGAATGAGAGGTTCATGTTTGCTTCGCATTTCGCGATTTGAGAACGCAAAGAAAAGATAACAAAAGCAGACTACGCATCGGCTTTGTGTTGTGTTCGCTCTGGGCTCTTTGTGTTCTGAACTCGCAGTGGTATAAGAGAAAAGGAATTGAACAACTCTCACGATGTACGGAACGTGTACGAGCCGGTACGAGCATACATCGGAACCCAGATCGAAGTAAGTTGACAAGCTTCATGCAAAGCCGAGTGGCTTTTTGTGTCGCGTCTGCTCGGTGGCGCTCGCTACGCTATCTGTCCACCCTATTGACAGAAGCGGCAGTATACCGATGGAACGTTGCATGCACATTGCTGGCGGTGTAAAGTGCTTCTATTGGGGTTTTTATGGTAAACATAAAGTTTGTGCGAAAGCCATGCGCAAAAAGAGCGTCGTTCGAAGACGGTCCTTCACCGTTGCTCGTGGAGAAGTGGCGCTATAGGAACGCCATCCGCCCGTATACCTGCTCGCCTGGAGGCGACAGAGGAGAACCGTTTTCGAATGCCGCTCTTCCGTGGAGCTTGTCAACTGATACATCTAAGAGCGTTTATTCGGACGGTCCCAGTCTAGCGGCGGCGTTTCAAAACGACACACGCGGGCCCTGAGGCTGGGCCAACTCGGCCGCCATTAATATGGCGAGAGAGTGTTTGACTTCGAAGCACTTGCGTTCCCGCCGCTGCTCCAACGCTACTCGTAAGGCACATTTTCATTGCTTAGTGTCACGTCATTGAACGCAGACAGGAGGGAATTGTAATAATAAAGAAAATGTGAGGAATCATGTTTCCCGAATCAGTCTAAACAGCACGATCCTATCGCTTTGAGCAGGAACGATATGCAACGCGAACCGCACGTATATACGCACGGTACTAATGCGCTACTTCGAAGAAGCAAATGTTCGTGAGATGTTGTCTGCATGACCAAAAGTGTGCTCTGGGTAGTGTAGCAGGCCTGCCAGTGCTGTCACAACAGAGCTTTCGAAAGCAGCTTGCACGCACGCGCTCTGCAGCGAGGATATTGAAAGGCTTAACGCCCTTCACCCTCTTCAACCGCAACATCAACCCCTCACTCTCGTCCACAAGCTCCATTGAAACCATCATCACAGTCATCTGTACAATATCATCTCATTATCGTTAAACGCGGCGCCGCGGGCTTCAACGTTCACGGCGGCATGCTATGGCAGGCGCACACGCGTAAGAGTTTTCACCTTTCTGGTTAGCATATATAGCACGCAGTGGTGAACGCATCTGTTCTTGCGTAAATAAACTACAATTACAATTACAGTTTATACCCGCATTCGCTGCGGCGACGGCCAACATAGTTATGGCGGCGCATCAAGTAAACAGTGTTGCCTGGCGTAGTCTTTAGCCTATAGTTAAACACGGTGTCTTAGGGAGGGCGAGAGGTCGGCAGCCGCCATTTCAGAAAGGGTCTATTCCCCGCGCTGGGCGGTGCATTGTGCGGTTGACGAGAGGCCTTGTGGAATTTCCCGAAGAGGTAGATTTCAAGCTCGCAATCTACCTCTTCCTCTACCTCTCTACCTCGCATAGCTGATTGTAACACAGAGAGCCACATAAGACATATGATGGAATAAAAAAAAAAATATGGCTTAATTAACACACTGAATGATTTGATCAAATATAAATAATTAACTCTGCTGACGCTACAATTTGAAAATAGCCAGCAAATAAAAAACGTAACTGCTTTTTTTTTTTTGAGGGGGGGGGGGATTGTTCGTAAAAATTTTAAAAATAGATTAAAAATAATAAAAATAAAAAAATAAATAAAAATTCCTAATTTTTGTTTTCCACCCAACGTCTGTCTCTATATTCTGGAAGGCTCATGCTATCGGGCGCTAAATGATGGCAAGCTACACGAACTTTCAAGAAAGATATTTTGAATGCTTAGCTGGGCCATTCAGTTGAAATGAGACGAAATAGTTCGTCGAAATCTCTAAAGCAGCGGTGTCAAAAGGGCGACTGTTTGAACCATATTACACGTTCTCGGAGTCATCGGTGTGGCTCATCGAAGTCGTTTCAACGGAAGAACTTGTACCCTGCTCTGTGCTGACTGCCGCAGAAAATGCCACGACCCATTTTCACCTTAAGAATAGCAGTAAAATATTGTTTCGCTCTTCCTGATGCGTTAATGATTTATCTGTCATTGCGTTAATTAAGTTACTTGTACGTTCATTTAATATCAATTATTGTATTATCAAAATGTAAAAAAATAAAACGAAAAGATACTCTCTTTTTGTGACAACCACACCTTGCAAGAACTACTTCGCGCACTTTATGCAGTATGTAAAAAAATCCTTTTTTTTTTTTTAGATGACAGCATGCGAGTAAACCGAAGAGGGTACTTTTACATTACTATTCCTTTCGGT